AAGAAAGTGCTGAGAGCTGGGGTGGACAGGGGAAGCGATGGCCAACGGGTATGAGGTTTCTTACAAGGGGATACAAGTGTTCAATGAGTGGCAATGAGTGCACAGTTCTGCGAATACCCTAAAACCATTGTACTGTATACTTAACACAGGTGGACTATACGGCATTCGAATTACATCTCAATAAGGCTATTACTAAAAAAGTCTTCAATATAAATTTTGGTCAGTTTATGAAGTAAAAGATAGGGAAGATAGATCCAACTGAACGCGGAGTTCCAGAGATTAGCAAGGAGAGATAAGAAAGCCTTCTTAAATGAACGATGTGAAGAAGTAGAGGAAAACAACAGAACAGGAAAGACTAGAGATCCTTTCAGGGAAATCGGAGTTATCAAGGGAACATTTCAAGCAAGGATGTTCATGATAGAGAATAGAAACAGTATGGACCTAACAGAAGCAGAAGAGATTAAGAAGAGATAGCAAGAATACGTGGAACGACTGTACGAAAAAGACCTTAATGACCTGAATAACCATGACGGTGTGGCCACTCACCTAGAGCCAGACTTCCTGGAGTGTGATGTCAAGGGTGTCAGGAAGTATTACTATGAGCAAAGCTAGTGGGGCTGATGGAATTCTAGCTGAGCTATTTAAAATCCTAAAAGATGATGCTGTTAAAGTGCTGCACTCAACATGTCAGCAAATTTGGAAAACTCAGCAGGGGCAACAGGACTGGAAAAGGTCAGTTTTCATTCCAACCCCAAAGAAGGGCCATGCCAAAGAGTGCTCAAACTGCTGCACAATTGTGTTCATTTCACATGCTAGTAAGGCAAAGCTCAAAATCCTTCAAATCAGGGTTCAATAGTACATGAACCAAGAACTTCCAGATGTACAAGCTGGGTTTACAGAAGGCAGAGGAACCAGAGATCAAATTGTCAACATTTATTGGATCATAGAGAAATCAAGGGGATTCCAGAAAAACATCTACTTCTGCTTCACTGACTACGCTAATGCCTTTCACTGTGTGGATCACAGTCACAAACTGGGAAATTCTTAAAGAGGTGGGAATACCAGACAACCTGGCCTGTCTCCTGAGAAACGTGTATTCAGGTCAAGAAGCAACAGTTAGAACCAGACATGGAACAACTAACTGGTTCAAAATTGGGAAAGGAGTAGGTCAAGGCTTCATGTGTCACCCTGCTTATTTAACTTCTATGCAGAGCACATCATGCAAAATGCCGGGCTGGATGAATCACAGGCTGGAATCAAGATTGCTGGGAGAAATAGCAACAACCTCAGATATGAAGATGATACCACTCTAATGGCAGAAAGTGAAGAGGAACTAAAAAACTTCTTGATGAGTGTGAAAGAGGAGAGTAAAAAGCTATCTTAAAACTCAGCATTCAGAAAACTAAGATCATGGCATCCGATCCCATCACTTCATGGCAAATAGATGGGGAAAAGGTGGAAACAGGGACAGATTTTATTTTCTTGGCTCCAAAATGACCATGAGTGGTGATTGCAGCCATGAAATTAAAAGATGCTTGCTCCTTGGAAGGAAAGCTCTGACCAACCTAGACAGCAATATTAAAAAGCAGAGACATCACTTTGCTGAAAAAGGCCCTATAGTCAAAGCCTTGGTTTTTCCAGTAGTCATGTATAGTTGTGAGAGCTGGATCTTAATGCTGAGCACTGGAGAATTAATGCTTTTGAACTATGGTTTTGGAGAAGACTCTTGAGAGTCCCTTGGACTGCAAGGAGATCCAACCAGACAATCCTAAAGGAAATCAGTCCTGAATATTCACTGGAAGGACTGATGCTGAAGCTCTAATGCTTTGGCCACCTGATGCAAAGAGCCAACTCATGGGAAAAGAGCGTACAGCTGGGAAAGACTGTGGGCAGGAGGAGAAGGGGACGACAGAGGATGAGATGCTTTGATAGCATTCTGGAGTCAATGGACTTGACTTTGAGCAAACTCTGGGAGACAGTGGAGGACAGAGGAGCCTGGTGTGCTGCAGTCCATGGGGTCTCCAGGAGTCAGACATGGCTCAGTGACTGAACAACAGCAGCAGAGAAGTACAATACGGTGATTCAAAAAATTTATACGGGAGAGCTTTCGGAGATAAGTATTATTTTATATTGAAAATCATTTTTTACTTTTTTTAAATTTAAGATTTGCAAATGTATGCTATACTTGCTTTAAAGGGAAGCATACTGATTGCAAAACCCACCCCGTTCACAGACAGTTCCCAAGCAGTGGAGGGTTTAGGTCAGGCGATGGTGTGGTCCAGAGCCAGAAAACAACTAGGGGGTGACATCTGTACCAGTAGTGAGTTTGAGACTCAAATCAAGACCCCTTACCCTCCAATGGTCTTTATTTCATCAGTGAGCAAGTACACATATGTATGCAGCTGTAACTCATAGCTAAATCAATTCAATCTCAGTGTAATGATATAATAGTTTAACATAGAACCACAACCTAACATGGCTAGGAGAGCTGTAGGGATCTCTTGGTCCAAACCCCCCCTCACTTCATCGTCAAAGCTGACAAAACCAAACTATGCTAAGTGAGTTGGAGTCACACAGCTTTTAATAGTAGAAAGCAAGGCTGAGACTACGAACAAAGCTAGAGGAAGTTATGGAATTCCAGCTGAGCTACTTCTAATCCTAAAAGATGATGCTGTGAAAGTGCTGCACTCAATGTGCCTGCAAATTTGGAAAACTCAGCAGCGGCCACAGAACTGGGAAAGGTCAGTTTTCATTCCAAGCCCAAAGAAGGGCAATGCCAAAGAATGTTCAAACTACCATACAATTGTGCTCATTTCACATGCTAACAAGGTTGTGCTCAAAAGCCTTCATGCTAGGCTTCAGCAGTTCATGAACCGAGAACTGCAAAGGCTGAGACTCGGAGCTTCGTTCTCTCATACGCTGTCATACGCCCTTCACCACTGTCTCTCTTTTTCTTAATCCATAGTATTTTACTTTTCTTGAGAGAAGGTATAAATAAGAATTAAAGTAACAATGTTAAATATTTCTATTATTTTAAAGGTTTTTTAGGAAAAACGTTTGAGGAAAAATAACTCAAAGTGGTTAAAACTCAAGGTCTATGGGACGATTCTGTCATGTACATTTCACGTGGGTCTCTGCAGACAGAAACTTGCTAGGGGTTTATGGAGTTTGAATATATGACCTATTTCATTAATGAGTATCAAAATATCCTTCCAAAAAGGCAAGTTCCACCAAACGAGAAAAGAAAATCTTTCAAACAGGACGGTCTCTCTGAATGTTGACCAAGCACCAAAGAGCGGACATTCAAGGCTCTGCTTCAAAGACCGAGTCTGTGTTAACTCACATCCCCTAAAAATCCCAAGAGGGTCCCTGCTCCAGCGAAGATCTCGGGCTGTTTGCTGAACCCAAAAAGCAATCCCCTCGAGATGGCTTGATGTTAATTCCACAGGGAACTGTGTCGCTTCAGGCAAGTCTGTCCTTTTTGGTCTTTCGACTTAACCCTTTTTTCTCTCCTTATGGGATGGAAGCGTTTGTCCCTAACAGTGAGGCTCCAGCTGGGTTTTTCCAGTGGGAGGTGCTCATGGACCCACATGCTAAAGATGCTCCCAGACTACATGTGGACAGATGGGGTGGGGCAGCATCTCCATTCACCTGCTGCTGTCTGGGCACCAACAGCTCACCCCTTGTGACCCTCCTAAGGCACCCCTCCCTGCCTTCGTTGAAAATTGGTCTCCTTTCTTAAAGTCCCTCTCTTAAAATATACAGGTCAACTTTTTCCTTGAGTGCTGACTGATTCTGCCATCTTACTTAAATATGTAACATTTCCCTGCCTTCTCAAATGAATCTAATGACATGTGTATCCTTGACTTGATGTCCAGAGCTCATCACGGGGCTGCAACGGTGAGGTCCTTGGGGCCCATTTAAAGGGTGCATGCCCCCACCAGCCCTGCTTCACAGGATCACGTTGTAATGATGAGAGGGGGAAGAACTGTTTATGAGCTGTCAACGGGGATTCCCTTATGGCTTACATGGTAAAGAATCCGCCTGCAATGCAGGAGACCCGGGTTCGATCCCTGGGTCGGGAAGATCCTCTGGAGAAGGGAATGGCACCCACTCCAGCATGCGTGCCTGGAGAATGCCATGGTGGGTTACAGTCCACGGGGTCCCAAAGAGCCGAACACGACCGAGCGACTAAACAACCATGCCCACCACCACCAAGTAACACAAAGACCGAAAGAAATTTGAAGCAGGCAAGTGACCCCAAAAGCATCAGAGATGATTCAGGACAGCAAAGAAAAAGTAAACACTTTAAACATTTTAGTTTCCTTTAAACTAAGTATTTTAGTTTATGTAAAATTAATGTATTAATTAATTAATTAAAATAAATTAATGCATTTTGTATTTAGCTGTGCTGGCTCTTAGTTGTGGCATGTGGGATCTAGTTCCCTGACCAGGGATTGAACCTGGGCCCCTGTGCCTTGAGAGCGCGAGTTTTAGCCTCTGGACCACCAAGTGACCCAGTGAAGTTGCTCAGTCATGTCCGACTTTGCGACCCCATGGACTGTAGCCCACCAGGCTCCTCCATCCATGGAATTCTCCAAGCAAGAATACTGGAGTGGGTTGACATTCTCCAGGGGATCTTCCTGACCCAGAGATCGAACCCAGGTCTCCCGCATTGGAGGAAGATGCTTTACCGTCTGAGCCACCAGGGGACCACCAAAGAAATCCCTAAATTAATTTTTAAATTAATGTTAAATTTTAATTCAGTTTTAATTTTTTATTTAAAAAATCTGTACTAGCACAATTCACAGATCGAAAGAAGACAGAGACACCACATTCAGAAGCTTCACTCCCACTTTGCCCCCCAGCTTCATTCCCCCCCACCCACCAGGTGACCACGTTTGATGGTTTCTTGTGAAACTGCAAGCAGGTATGAAGAAATCTCCGGATTTCCCTTCCTGGGTTGCGTGAAGCATGGCGGGCTGTGTGTGTGAGTTCACCTGGGTGCTGTAACAGAACACCGCACGCTGGGAGGGTTCCGGAGGCTGGAGGTTTGACCTCAGGGTACCAGCAGAGTCGGCTCCGTCTGCGCCGCCCTCGGCGGGCAGACAGCCCAGCCGCTCTGCGCATCTGGCCGCGTCCACGTGGCCGCCCTCTCTAAGGGCGCCGCTCATCCTGGGTTAGGGCCCCCGGGTGAGCTCAATGCAGCTTGGCTACCTCTTTGTAAATTTTTTATTACTCTATACTTGGCTGCATCAGCATGCAAATTTGGAGGGAGACAAAATTTAACCCATAACACTGTAATACTTTTCTTCTTTCTTTTTATTTTTCCACTTAGTCACATGACCCTGGAGATCTTCATATATCGATAGAGAGAATTTTCTTGTTAGACATCACTTTTTTGTAGATACCAAATTCCCATATAAACATGAGTGAGTTTATGGACTATATCCATTTCCAGTGAAATAGTACCTATTTTTCTTTCAGTAATACACTGTTTTAATTTCTCTACAGAAATTAATATTATTAATTAAATGAATAAAAATGTTCTCTGTTGAAAAATTAACATTTCAATATTTGATCGGTCAAGTCAGCTCTCTTCACCACTGCCTTTTCCATGTTGTATTGTCCATTTCTGTAATTCTTTTAAAAAATTATTATTTTCTTTAAATTAAAAGCAAAAAACTAAAAATTAAATAAGAAATATAGAAAATCTTATAAAAGGAAGTCTAAATAAACTACCCAAAATGCTACCAAGCAGGAAAGAAAATAGTGTGAAATATGGAATGAATATCATTTCAAACATATGTCTAAAACTGTATACAAATCAAAGGATTTTGTTGAATTTTTCAACCATGAGAGAAGAATGAAAACTTGTGTGAAACTGAAAAAATCGCTGAACTTCAGAAAAAAAGGGGCTTTTAAAAATAAGATGTCCCTGAAATATTTCTCTGAGGTTATAAAACAATTAGAAACTTGAATTTATTATGTGCTTGTATCTACATGTCTCAGTTTCAGATGAAAGCTGTGGATTCCGTGCTATGCAGGAAGAGATTTGTATTCCTAAACTTCTTTCTCCACTAACACTTTGTTACTTATATTTTCATTTTTATTTTGTCAAGTGTTATAACACATTTAGTTCAACAGACATTTCTCCAGTTGCGTAGTTTTAATCTGTGTTTATATGAATTTAATACATAATATTGACCATTTCATTTTTTTTACTGCATAAAAATTTTTATAACATTTTCATCTCATCGTCGGTTCTATTTCTTGTCATTCTGTTTTCTTTTTTTACAAGAAGTGCCATACACAATATATCTTGCGTCCTTTCATGCTGGTGTGTGACTTCCTGTTTCCTTTCTTGGCTGGTGACAAGTTATCTATGGTCCCACTGTCTTCCCCCCAAACATCACTAATATTGCCCCCTCCCCACAATGTTTGGTGGTGGTGGTTTAGTCGCTAAGTTGTGTCCAACTTTTGCAACCCATGGACAGTAGCCCGCCAGGCTGCTCTGTCCATGGGGTTCTCCAGGCCAGAATCCTGGAGTGGGCTGCTAGTCCCCTCTAGGGGATCTTCTCAGACCAGGGATTGGACCCAGGCTTCCTGTGCTGCAGGCAGAGTCTCTACCAGCTGAGCTACGAGGGAAGCCCCCCGCCACCACGTTTGCTGGTCACGAATGCTGCTGACCTCCTCCCTGATAAATGACTTCTTTATCCACCTACATGCTAGGAGGAGTGCGTGTTCAGTATTAACTTTCAGTAATTTAACAAGGTCTACGGCATTTACTCAAATGCACCCGCTCTGTTCCGGAAGGAAAATCCGCCCTGCAGAAAAGCCTTACGAGTGCAGTGAATGTGGGAAGTCTCTTACTGCTGGCTCTGGCCTTCAGTATCAACAGAGAATTCACGGTGGAGAAAGGCCTCAGGTGCCGTGACTGCAAGAAATCTTTTCTTAATAAATCTAGTCTTTTTGATCATCAGAGAGCTCACACTGGAGAAAGGGCCTGATGAGTGCAGCTGGGGAGGCCAGGGCTGGGGTTGGTGGAGTCTGGGGTGGTAACAGCATGGAGGACACAGGGCAGGCATCAGGCAGCAGATGGGCCATTTCCAGGGCGGGATCTGAGGCACAGGGCGGGGGTGTCTTCTTATTATCACCTCCCAGCAATGGACAGGTGTTTGGGATTCAGGGTCAGGTTGCCTATTTCAGGACAACGGGAGTCTGGTCACTGTAATCCTCTTTCGCTTCCAACCCCGCTTTGGGAACTCAAAGGGCACCTAGCCCACCCTCTGTCCCTGCCCTCCCCTCCCCTCCTCAAGAGCCCTGCTCACACACTGCACCCCACGCTCAGCGGTCACGACTACCGCTGGGAAGCAACACTGATGGCTTTCCTGTGAACGATCCCATTGTCTACCTGGTAATGCTCTGTCGCCTCCATGCCAAGCACTGCACGGGGTTTAGGGCAGCCAAGAGTGGAGAAGAGACTTGCATGATCCTGCATGATATCACTTAGGTGCAACTGACAAGCGATATGAATGAATGCACATGCAGAATAGAAACAAACTCAGATTAGGGGCTTTACTGGTGGCTCGCTGCTGAAGAACCTGCCAACGCAGGAGATGTGGGTACGATCCTGGGTCGGGAAGATCCTCTGGAGGAGGAAATGGCAACCCACTCCAGGGTTCTTGCTGGAGAATCCCATGGACGGGGAGCCTGGCGGGCTACAGTTCATGGGGTCACAAAAAGTTGGACACGACTTAGCAACTCCAGAGAAGGTATTGATTGTTCTGTATAAATTTCCCCCGAAACACCATGTGTTCCTTTGAGCCAGAGATTTAACGGCTTCTTCATTACAGGGTTCCTTGACTCTATCATATTCAGGAACATTCTCTCTGCTCAGGGCCTTGGGTTCTGGTTTTGGGCTCCTCTGGTTATCCTTGTGTTGGTTCATCAGTCATCCCTTCAAATCCATTACCTTCGCTGCTACAGCCTCTTTGTATTTTCCTTCTGAAATTACTGTGTTATCTCACACTCCATGTTCTACATCAGGAATTTGACTTGTTGCTCTTTCCAAATAATGTATTAGATCTGTGATAGGGCTGGAGTCTCGTTTTTCATCTCTTTTATTGCCTCGGCCTTGAGCTAGGTTTTACTGAGTTCATATCCTGTCTAGTTGCTCCATATCATGACACCTGGACGTTTTCTGCTGTTCCTCAGGCTACGGCTTCCAGCAGACCAGGTTCTTTGATACTTCTATGCAGTATTTTACGCATTTTGGTTGTTATAAACTCGCATAGCTGAGTGTCACTTCTTTCATCTTGCACATTCTTATGATGGTACCCATCTGCCCAGAACGTCTGTTTGTTCTGCTATTGTGTGGATAAGTCCTCCTTGATATTCTTCCCAAGACTCAGTTTATGTTACACTTTGTGTGACTTGAGGGCACGTGGTGTGGTGGGGCCAGTGTAGAGTCACCTGGAGATGTTAGCAGCCCTTGTCAAGGCACCGGCCGTCTCCCGAGCACTCATCTGGGGTCTGGGGTCTGGGACACCCTCCCTCCCTCCTGGGGCCTTTGAGCCGTCTCTCTGAGACAGTGGCCTCCCTGTAACCCGGGGGTGATACGTAAGACTGCCGCTTGTAAGGTTTCCATTCTCTCCTCCCCAGGGCTTCCTAGCTACCACTCCAACCATTTTCTTCCAATTGGAGGATGTTTGTGAAATTTTCTACACTTCTTTCTGTGGGAGGGGGTGAAGTGGAGGATATTCATCAGTTTCAAGCACCTCTGGGGGGATTTCAGTAAAACATCTTATTGAACCGTTTGACACGTCAGAAGTTGGACCTCAGAATCAAGCGTAGATTGATGAGAAGGACCCCACAGTGGGGAGCTGGGGACTGCAGCCAGCTAAGAACAAGATGACAAAATACTAAAACTGGAAAGGAGATATACGGCCTAGGATATATGGATATATGGCCAGATACTGGATACAAAATGTAAAGAATATGACCAATAAAAGATCCAACGGAGTCTATTTATCATTTGATGTGCTATGTTGTGAGAGTGAACTACTTACTCTAAGGCTTCAAAATTCCAGTCAAATAGCCTTGACGCACAACCTTGACTCAGTGGTACTTAGAAGAATGACAATATTCTGCTGGCGTTATGAAAGTGAAAGTCGCTCAGTCGTGTCCAGGGGATCTTCCTGACCCAGGAATTGAACCGGGGTCTCCTGCACTGTAGGCAGATTCATCACCAGCTGAGCTACAAGGGAAGATGTGGTGTTATGCGGAGTGTCCAAGAAGAAGAAATCACCAGTGAAACAAGGCAGCGAGTCCAGAACACAGATCAGAAAATCAGTGGAAGCAGAGTCTTAAAGGCAGGAATGATCAAGAGAATCAGTCCCCCTAATAAACCATGAAAATGTCAGCTGGGGAAAGCAGGTCTCCAGTTTTCTCACCAGCCACCAAGATGGGGTGACATTCACCGGCATACAGTGTCAGCTGTCCTGACACAGAGCTACAAACACTCAATAACAAAAGTTATAGGTTTTCCTTGAAACAGTTTGCATCACACCCGTGTCTTCTTAGTCTTGATATGTGGAATTGTTATTATCGGGGCTTGCTAAATTATTCATGTGGAATCTACATCAGAAGACTTCTAAAGACCTTTCATATGTAAATATTAGATAAAACCATTATTTATTGGGGATTTTTGCATTTTTTAATTGAAGCAAAATTTACATACAGTGAACTGCACAGATCTTAGAATGCAATTCAATACACATCAAAAAATATCTCCACCCACGTAGCCAACATTTGAGATACAGAACCTCCCCAGAAGCCCCAGAAAATTCCCTTTTACCCACTTCCGCTCATCTCTCCCATTCCAAGCAACTCCTGCTCTAAATTTTATTGTAGATTATTCTGCCTGGTTTAGAACTTCCTGTAAAAGGAATCATATAGCATAGGCTTTTTCGTGCTGTTGTATGCGTCACTAGTTTGTGCCTTTTCATTACTGATCAGCATTCTACTGTATGGATACGTTGCAAGAAGTTTACTGTCTTATTGCTAGACATTTATACTATTTCCAGTTTTTAACCATTTTTTTCTGTGTCTTCTTGTGAACAAATATTTTTGTTTCATTTGGGTAAAACTCAGAGATGGAATTTCCGGCAGG